ATTTTCGAGAAAAAAAAAAAAGAAAAGTAACGAGGAGATCGGGTCTCCCCTCGAGTAAAATCGAAGAGCCTCCTTTCACTGAATTCTTTTCCCCTCGATCACCACTCTCCACACCTCTCCTTTCTCCCTTAAACATCAAATTTATATATGTATATACATGTATACATAATCTCACCAGTTCGAATCTCTTGTTCGACGAAGCAAAGAAAAGAAAAAAGAACGAGAATTAACGTAACGACAAGCATTTATCAGAAACAAAAACATGGAAAAAGGATCGAAAGGGAGGGAGAAGGCGCGTGTGTGCGTGAAAGAGGGAGAGAAAAAGGGTTCGCAGAGAGGCACACAGTGTGTATTTCTTCTTTTTTTATCACGTCCAAGTCGATGCAGTAAGAACAAGCCGGATTAAAATTAAAAAAACAGGAAGAGCGAGAGAGAGAGAGAGAGAGAAAAGAGGACAAAAGAGAGAAAAAGAAAGGAACAGAGAGGGAAAGAAAAAAGAAAGGCAGAGAGAAAGAGCGTATCGTAGACGGAAATTAAAAACCATGGTGGAGGAGCGAGAACGAGTAAGAGAGAAAGAGAGGGAAAACATGAGGGAAATCTGTGTTGGGGGCGAGGAGAAGGGTGGAAAAATGGGGAGAGAGAGAGAGAGAGAGAGGGTCAAGGCGGAACGATCGAAACGAGTCAGGAGAGAACGATCTTTTGTCCCTCGACGAGACCCTCCCCGCCCAACAAACTCCTTTTGCCCCGTTTTACCTCTCGAGAACGAACCGAAAACTCTGGCCTTCCGGTTCTTCCAGTTCCACCATGTTGCAGCCAGAGAGAAAACGATTAAGAATTTAACCCCACAACCCCCTATTCGAACTCGTGTTCTATATCGTGTTGTTGTGTCTTTCTGTCGTCTTTCTAACTGACTCTATATATATATACATACACGTGTATATACATATATATATACACGTGTGTCGATTGTGTGTAAGAAGTCTCTGGTTGAGAAGAAGTACATGTACAAGAAGAAACGATCGAGCACGCGATCGCGAGCCGTCTTTTGTCCCTGTGCTACACCTGAGAGAAAACCAAGAAAGGAAAAAGAAGGGGCGAGAAAACAACCCACCTATACTATTACTATCTTTCACAACCTGTCTCTCTCTCTCAAAAAAAAAAAAAAAAAAAAGAACAAAATGAAGAGAGAAAGAGAAAGGGGAGTTTAGAGAAATACGATCGATGAGATTCTCACCCCCGTCCAGGAGTATAGTCCCTTAGAGAAAGCATGTTTCGGAGAAAAGAGAAAATTTTCGAAAAAAAAAAAAAATGCAAACAAGCAGAAGTATATATGAAAATTCATTCTTAATCATTTCATATGTGATCTTGAAGTGTGTAACATTGTTTCTCGTGTTGCTTACTGCCGTCAAGTTAGAGCAAGCCGATCGCCGACCCAGCGCCCTGCGCCGCGTATACGTACACGTTACTACTACTACTACCAGTACCGAATCAGCTATCTACCACTGTCAGCTACTATCGACTACTACCGCTATCGTCTACCACTACTACTACTACCGCTACTACCACTACTACTACCACTACTACTACCAATCGTGTTACGTCTCCTCCTGAACGAACCGAACGAACAGAGAGTCAGCTCTAGCCGGCGCGACCTCGCTCGCTGAGGTACTTGAACAAACCATTTTACCAAGCATATCTTTTTTCTTGTTTTTCCTTTTGTTATATTGCGTTTTCTCATTTATAGTCACTTAAATTCTTCTCTCCATATACTATATACTGCATATATTATATACATCACGTCTCCAACGTGTTCTAATTCTCCAGTGTTTACAATTTTTTTCTTTTTTTTTTTTTTGGTTTGTTTCCTTTTTGTAATCTGATTATCCCTCTCTCTCTCTCTCTCTCGTCTCTTGTTACAGTTTTGTTAATTTTCTTTCACTTTATTTCTGTTTTGAAACCACCCCCAAAACATAGTTTTTTTTTTTGTGATAACTACTTGTTACTCCACGTGGTACTGTTTACAATACTCTCTCGCCTTGCTTCTTACGTTATGTTCTTTTTTTTGATTGGTTCTTTTCGTTGTTGTTTTTTTTTTTTTATATTATTGCGTTAGAGACTTCTGTATGATTGGATATAAACTGTGTGTGTGTGTATGTATATATAGAAATGTTGTATTGCTATATATATGTATATATACATGTAGAGATATAAACGTGGATGGAAGCTATAGCTATGATAGTCGAGCGTTATCTGAGCTCGATAGATATACGTATATTATCTGTGTATATATATATGTGTGCTGGATCCTCGTGAGATACACGTTTTGCCGGATGCACGCCAGCGACCAGAGCTCGCTCGACCGACTTCCGATCCAAGCCTGACACGATTCGAGAAGCCCTCCCCCGGCTACTTGGAATCGTAAATCTCCTATAATTGAGTTTGTTCTCTCTCTCTTGGCGGCCTCCTCCTGCTCCTCGAAGGTCTGCCAATTTTAACGATCGATCCGAAACGCCGATTTCCGAACACCCCGTTGAATAAGTTTTGCGATGTTTCTCCTTAAGGGGAATCAGAGGTAAACGATGGACGGGGTGTTTTTGTAGTCTGTGAGTTTAGTTGTTTTTTTTTTTTTTTTAATTGATTTGAGCGAATTGAAGGGAAAGGGTGGATCACTGGGTATGAATTTTGTTTGTACTTTTTTTTAAATAAATTTGGAGTTTAGATGTAGCGAAAGTGAAGTGTTTTAAGTCTTTGATTGGGTACGTGGTGTGATAAGGTTTTATCGTTCTTTTTGGTGATGTTAGTGTTCCTGGGTGAAAGTTGGGAAATTTGGATATTTTGAAAATTAAGGAATGAGGTATTTTAAAAATTGAGAAAATAGATATTTCAAAAATTAAGATGTTAGATATTTTAAATATTGAGGAGTGAGGTATTTGAAAATTTGGATATTTTAAACATTGAGAAATTAGATATTTAGAAAATTAAGAAATTAGATACCTTGAAAATTAAGAGATCAGATATTTCAAAATTTAGATACATACAAAATTAGAAATTAAATACTTAAAAATTTGCTCATTTTTAACACACTATTTCACTCATTATCACTGAAGGAGGAATCGTTTTCATTTTCCCTCCAAGTTGGACACAAATGTCCTCAAGAGGAGGAAGTAACAAAATATCTCTGAAATGCTGAGAACACCTCGCGTACCTAATTAAAGGTTAAAGGCAAAGAATAAACGAAGGGGGTGACTTTTCCTTGGTCGAGAAGGAATTCCTTAAATTAACCCCCAGCACGCGTGCAACGTTTTTTTTTTAAACGTTTAAATAGCCACTTAGAGTGGCTGGTTGCACGCAGCAGGCCTACTCTCGACGCCTCCGCTTCTGAATACCGGCGAAAACGTTCAAGATAAAGAAGTCTCTCCCTCCTGGGGATTCAGGCTTTAGACGAGAGACGCCGTTAATTAGCGACAGTTTCGCGTACGGGCAATTAACGCAACTTCGAAACTCCGGTTAAAATGTTGCACTAACGCGTTAATCGGGAGGAATTAAACAGCAGGTGAGATTCCTTTTATTTTCTTTCCACGATCTTCGAGGAGCTTATCGAAAACACAAAAATTCGTACAAATCTCGAAGATTTCTCTAATATATCTTCTCGTAATGATCTCGATGGATCGAAGAGTCACGTGTGACACACGTCGATTTCTGAAATAATTCGAGTGGCTGGTCGCCGGTGTGTGTTTACGTTGCTCGTGAGTCGCTGTGAAAGTGGTACTTGTAAATAACGCTGAGAGAACGGCTGAAAAGAGTGCTTTGTTGGACACGAGGGAGTGTAAGAAGGCCTGATCAACCATGCAGCCTTCAGTTGAGAGAAAACGGCTCTCCTGAGCGGAGAGAAAAGGAAAAAAGCGGACGATCGCGTCGCGATTCGTTGAGAAAAACCGGATGAAAAATACGGGGACGAAGGAAATTCACACCGGGGGAAAAAATAAAAAAATAGAACTCTCTTTCGTGATTCTTTTACACCTGGGTAGAATCGAAGACCCTTTTGAAATCCCTTAAATAGTCACCCTAGATCGTCTGTAAAAGACAATCCTTGATCCTTACAGAACGATCCTACGGAATATCCTTCGAAATCGATAGTTTCTTTTTTAGTTTCCTTTCGACTGGAAGTCCTGGCGTGATCTGGCTGTTGGCACAATGACCGTAATCTTCGAGATCGCTGTTCTGAATTAAACGAAGACCGCGAATTTTATTTTGTCTTTCGAGGAGATCGTAACAAAACGGGGAAGAAAATTGCGCGGTGATTTTTTGCGGTGATCGAAAGTCTCTATCTCTCTCTCTTTCTCTCGCGATTTTTCTTTTCCTCGACAGATCAAACTCTTTTTTCCGCTTCCCAAAAGAAATTTTCTTTTTTTTCTTCTTCATACTGCTCTTTTTTTTTCTGCTCTTCGTTTTGTACGCTGTGTACATGTGTGAGTGTTTCTCTCTCTTTCTTTTCTTTCCTCCATTCTCTCTTTTGCCAAGGTTGTACGGTACAATGGTAGACGATATTATTGTATATATACCGGAGAGAAATTTTTGCCGGTGTGTCTCGGGGAAGCGACCACGCATTCTCCTCGGCCAAAGAGTTGAAGACCCGCGAAGCCATTACTGTCATTTCGCCAAGTCCGGGACGCGACATGGGTTTCGGTGGAAATTTTGTCGACCGTAGGACTTGCTTTGCCAACTGCGAGCTGTACGTGTTTCCATGGACTTCAATTAACGAAGGAATATTCTCCGCTGAAAATTCTGTCGGACGAAAAATGGTGTTTTCTTTTTAACGCGGAGTCGAATTTTCCCGCGAAATCCGAAAAAGTCGCGAGCGCAATTTTCACTCGAATTTGCGTTCAATTTCCCAGTGATAAAAATTCAAAATTCCACGGAACGAAGAATGGTCTTTTCTTTTTAACGCGGAGCCGAATTTTCCCGCGAAATTCAAACGAGGCTCCCGTACAATTCCGCGCGCAATTTTCACTCGAATTTACCTTCAGTTCCCCAGTATGAAAATTCAAAATTCCACGCTACAAAAAATAGTCTTCCGTTCTTTCTATCACGGAGTCGAATTTTTCCGCGAAATTCGAAAGATACACGAGCAGAGAATTCCGCGCGGAGCAGGCCAACGACTCTCGCGGCGTCGCTTTCATCCTCCCGTCCTCTGGAGGAAGGAAGCGACGACGGGGGGTCACTTTTTCAAAGCCCCAAAATAATTTCACCGGCTCGTAGGTTGCTCGCGTGTCGGCCAGAACCTAACCGAGGCACCGTTATGGAGAACCGACTCTCGGAAACCTCGCGAGAGAGGGTGGAGGAGGTGTATTCCCAGAAATAACCAAAAACGAAAACCACCGGTCCATTCTCGAATTCTTTGTTTCCATGCTATTTTCACGGTCGACTTTTCCCGCGAACTTGGCAAAGCAAAGCCCGAAGGCCGTATAAAATGAAACTAGAGGCGGAGGAACGCGTGTGCGCGCGTCGAGAGGGAGGAACGAGCGAAAGTTGTAGACCCGGCTTAAAGGGAGGCTAAAAACACGGCGGAGACGAGAAGG